TGCGTTTCCTCAATTAACCAGTAACGTAAGATGCTTCCCCTCGCTTGCACATTTCACTACCTAAGCCATGTAGGTTTATGTTAAGAGCACAACTCAGGGGAGTTATTACTGATCAAAGAATACAAATCAGTTGTTCGGTGGTTTAACCTCCCTGTATTGTTTGGCGCACCCTCTGAAGCGTCTGACGCCAGTTTAAAGGCACTTCGAAACCAGTCTGTGTTACACAAGCCCCTGGGAAAACGTGAGTGAGTGTCAAACATAGGCTTGACCGTAGACAAACATTTCAGGTGAAACCAATGAACATTATGCGATAATGGAGGGGGTGAATTGTTAGGACATACGCCCTTTTGATAACTGACTAAGTGTGATCGTACCAGCTGTGAATCTGATAGTCCTGGTGAGCGCCGTTCGTCAAGATAAGGGGTCAACTAACCCACGTGAACCCGGTCGGTCAACAGATTTGGTGATATCAACGTTAACCGGCAGTTCTGTCGAAATAAAAACACTCCTCCAGTCAACCATGAAGTATGTTTACTGAGTTCCAAAAGTATCCCCGTTACATACGATGTAAATGTGTGGATTACGATAGGCTTTTGCGGTGGAAGTGACATATTAACATGTTTATTTTCCTTAGCTTTTACAATTCCATTTCCCAATGTCTGAGGTCAAACACGCACAGATTGTGGTTGGGATGCAAACTAGCGTGTAGTCATCACGACAGCTGAAGTATTTGAGAGGGGATTTTGCAAGTGATTGATCTCAACGGCCTACAACAAACTGGTGGACAGCAGTTTAGACTTAGTTGGACCGCATTAACCACAAGCACATGGAGGAATTCAGCCCACATTTCGTGAGCAGATGACAAACATTCTGTGTCTGTACTATAGACTGGCTCGTATACAGTCCAACCACAAAAGAAATGTACCACTCAAGGATACAATCTCACGTCCCTTCCTACAACCGCAGAGTTCGCGAGCCGCTTGGCCAGGTTACCACTCCGGCACTTGTCCAAAGGTTATGGTTTCGAACCCGGGGCGTGATTAATGCAGATATAGTCCAAATAGGTGAAAACAACTTTCTTTCTATTTGTATGTAGCAAGTGGACTCAGTCGTCCTCACGAACTAGTTTGCTCTTCAATAAAATGCCGTAGACCACTTTCCACGAGGATGCTTTTCATTAAAATTTCGAAGAGTTCTGTTATTTCAAAATGTACACCACCCACATTATATCGCACCCTTTGCACTTAAGATAGGTCTTTTGGCTGGCTCACTTCGTACAGAATCACCAGACTCGAGCTTCGCTTTTATTAGAGCACATCAGTAGTGCATATTCTCGCCCTAGCCGGAAGTTGCACCCCGACCCTCTTGTTTGTCAGACAAGCGTTTTATCCACACCGCCAGTAACCTCACAATAGACGCCATCGATCAGTCATAAAAACACTGAGTCACAATCTTTTGTGAATAGTGTCTACGTTGTCCTATCATTTCGGAAGAAGAAAAAACAGAGGCACTCTATTCAATCTAGTCGACAACCCAGGGATTAGGAACTACCCAGTTCGGTTGAAGTCCCAGACATCACTGAGCCACCTAAACAATGTAGATAATGACGTTTGAATTTGTGCACTCGGTAAGTTAAAACAAAAAATTCTCTCATAATAATTACAACATTATGTCGACATGACAAGACCCGGAACTGGTCCACTCCTTTCAGCGTCAAGTTGATGAGTGTACAACCATACTCAATTCCTCAAACTTGTGAGTGTTCCATGTTTACATGAACTGCAGCCGGTCAGTAAATCTTCAGAGGTGCAGTCCTTGTGTGCTCAACTTCTCGAATGATGTCAGTAGATATACTACTGTCATTAGCTGAGTTATTTCTCAAACATCATTGACTGGCCTCATGGGAATGGAAGTCTTATGCACAGAAGATGTGACACGGTTAATTGTGTTTTGAAGTGTATTAATCACTTATTGCTAGAAATTACCCAATACATCCTGAGTTCACGTACTACCCCCATCCGTGGAGTTTCAACAGTCATAACACGGCCTGCTGTCTTGTACCAGTGTTGAGAACCAAGAACGCGGATGACGCAAGGGTTATTTATTCAAGAAACCAACACGGGTTAAGCGTTTTAACATGACCACAACAAAAATACTCATCTGTTTGTGGTACTGGGCCCGAAACGTCATGGTTGCCACAGACGCCAATGTTAAGTTCCTTTACGTACCAATAACCATTTTATGCGACGCCGCACTGCAATGTTTCTTCTTGTATTTTTCCCGCGGCTATTTTAATGTCAAAATCTACGCTCTACTACTGAAAAGCGGTGATGTGAGTAGTATAGTACGATCGCTGCTCCTCACTTCACCAGTACATGCTGAGCTTTGGCCAAGGCATGCTCGAGTTTGAAAGCTGAAATCAAATATGAAAATAAATATCAATGGGATTTCATTGCTTTTTCCTTACGGACAATATCACTAACTGTTATTTCTAAGTTCCACTGATGTCAACAACAGTTTCTACTGTGAATAACGTCTTTCCGGGTTTGAATCCTGCGAGGTCTCAGTTGAATTGGCTCGTTTGTGCATTTACAACCGACCGTACGGTGTTCAAAGTTTGAAGTGTGGTGGGCTCACTAGCCTTCTGAAAAGGTGTCATCGGACTTGTAAGTTCGGACTAGTATTCCGTGTCACATGTGTTATCCCTTGTGATCTCCAGTAAGTATGCCTAAAAATGCGTACGGAGACAGAGGATAACCTAACGAAGCTCTCTGTTGTGTGCTATGTGTAGTCTTTTTTTATCACTGCTAGTTATTGATGACCTATTTTTGAAAGGACATCAATCACTGCCGTTTTCAGTGCCTACTCAGGTATGGTTAACATGCTTGACGATACGGTCATCAAGTGAAACGATTTACTACCTCATAGATCATGCTCACGTGACTGTTCTTCATGTGGACACTCTCTTCCACTAGTGGCAACAACATAGAGGGTCTTTATCTCGTTCAGAACGCTGATTATCCGATAAGACCAATCAGGGGCGAGGGTGGTCACAATGATGTGGGTCCAGGTTTCAAGTCTTATTGCCCCATTACGATTGGAATTAGTTTAAACTGCTACCCGTAGGTGGACTGACTTTTGTATAAACATGTCACACATTATCTTCACTGGCCGGTTACGTAAGTTTGTTGTTCAAGCTTCCATTTGATACTTACTTTCTCATCTACTGCCTACAAGTTGTAGTACAACGGTATCATATGACCACGGTTTTCGTCCTCCGCATACTGTATGAACAACAAAGTTATTTACAAGGAGAGGTTGGAATAGACAACAAAAGGCTTTTATTTTGTTAAATAATACCGGATAAGCAGCGCTGCTTGTCACTGTGTGCTGTAATGGGCTGGTTACAGTCACTAATTTGAATGGTTGCGCAGGTCCTGGTCCGGCACAAGTGAAGCACTGGCACGATGCAGTTTATTGATCGGGAGGTAAGTGGCCCATTCACACGTGAAGTGTTCACCAACAGTTGGTTATCGCTGCTAAGTATGGACTGTTCTGATCGGCACTCTTCAGAACAGCAAACTTCAGTGTCAGACTCACTAGCTGATTAATGCACGCAGACGATGCACATCAACTGGACGGTTATCTAGCTAGCTACTGATCGGACGTCGAGTTCTCGTACATACTCCTCTCGAAAAGCCTCGACAGAAGTACAGCGTGGTTCAGCGTAATCCCAACACACACGAGTTCCCAACAAACGAGATAGTATTGGCATGACAAGTCAGAGGGTTCAATCGGAACCACCTCATTGCAGTGATACTACTGCCCGAGAGCCTGTCGTTGTGCGCCTCTTAGAGGGTCGGGTTGACAACCCCACCATGCGAACCACTAAAGGCTGGTCGAACTAAGTTGGGGATATGTACTGTCTACATCATGTCGTCCAGCTCCATCATCCTCGTAGGTTCCGATTGCATGATGACGCCAACGGAGTGATGCAAACCATAGCCGTCAGAACGGACTGTAGTAACATGCCTCTGGTATCATCTTGTAGATTGGATGACTGTCGTTGGGACCGATAGGGCGTGAAGCGAAGTCCAGTTTGACACTGGGGAGTAGTGTGTAAGTCAGTCAAATAAGGAATAGTATTATTAATAAGTAGTTCGGCAGATTTATGATTTTAGATGAGACCAACTGTGAAAAATCAGAGCTTCGGCTGGATTCAAACCAGCGACAGAAACACCATGCCTCAACAAGGCAAACGCTCTGCCAGTTGAGTTACAAAGCCATGCCGGGAGTTCGGAAATTTCACATTTGGACTCAGTTACCCACCCGTCCCACTGTCTCATATGCAATCCACCAAATGATTCAGGGAATCGACTATCGCGGCAGGATTTCTTCGAACAGTTCACGCTGGAATCCCTACTTATTAGTAGTATGATTTCTATGCTCATCGGTGGCGTTGGTAGCTTCATGAAATGCAGGTACCTTTTCTGGTCAGTTTATTGATTGGCAGTGCGGCAACAAACAATGCGGAAATGTGTTGTTCGTTTTGATGAGTTTTGCATTATGGGCTATTAAATCATGCCAGACGAGCCGCAACATTTTTCACCTGGCACATACTCAAGTTGTCTCGACACATGTGTATGGGTTTGTGTTGTCCTATAGTACTGCCAATAGAACAAATCTTCGTCATGAGCGAAAACGGTCCCTCGGTTGCTTCTAAAGATTTCAAGTTCGCCTGAATTCACTTGAACCACAGTGTTAAATATCGCTGGAAAGTAAACAACACGCGTAGACCGCTTTAGTCTACCAGTTGACTCGGAACGACGCAAGGCACTGTCCAACTGAATGATTCAGAATGATATAGTTGAGTCAGTTGACCGACTATCACCACCCAGTAAAGTTATAGAGAGATCGATGATGTGAACACGTCTGGCGTTCCAGAATCTACCGAAGAATTGCAGCCGCAGGTAACATGACCGATGTGCGTGCCCATCTACAAATCGAATTTTACTATATTGCCTTGATAAAAGCACACATATGCATCATGAACAAAAGTCTTAAAACAGACGTGGTTTATTCGCGTATCCCCTACGACCATGATGTGGGATGAGTTCAAATTCACAGACTAGTAAACAGGTCATTTACAGTGATCGAAGAAGTGATGCCGGGAAGTGCCTCTCACTTATTTTATAGTGCCTTGATGTCATCGATGTTCGAAAGCGATTATGATTGGTAAAGTAGTCACATATTTTACGACGTCAGCTCATAAGCCGTAACAACCGCAAACGATGTAAGCCTGTTTTCGCAATCAGGATGCGGCGAGAATTGTGAACAGTGGTTGAGAACATTTGTAGCTCGAGACGTGAACATTGTTGACGAAAATGATAGTCTAGGTAGATATTTCTATGAAACGCTTTATCCTACCTTACATTTTAAACCGATACAATGTTTTGCTGTGAAACCTGTAAAGTCGTTACTTTCAGGTAGCCCTATTCATTCTACGATGAGAAATTGTCCGATTCCGTTCGCAAATTTAATCCCGAATTCTGAATGCTTCTACATATAACACGACGAAGCACCACTGTACTGAACGACGAAGCTGGGCAGTAGTAGGCGATCTCAGCTGAACTTGGCGACTGAACACACAAATAGCCGGACGGAAATTAACAATCTAAAAAGAACTGAAAATGAATAACAAAAATATCAAGAATGAATGGTTGGTTGCCACCGAACCAACAGCTGCGGTTTTGTTGCAGAAACATCTGTTTAAACAAATTGCTTGGCAGTATTCTGGACGGTGCCCTTGAAAGGTGCACATAGTTTTTGCTCACATCTCCGTTTTTACTAAAAAACTAGAACACTGATAGGCGTGACTCTTTTCCATTTATGTCTATTGTTGTTGTGGTGAAGCATTCGAACTATGGCCAGTTGTAGAAACAAATCATACTGCAAAGTTGTCTGCTTGCCTGTGACACATTGTTGCACAATCAACAGCAAATCGACCCCAGATATAGATAAGAGCATATGACTCTTATACTGAGATCCGCATTCCTTACTGCTGTGCCATAATGGGGAACGAATCAGCTGTATCCAACTTCCTACCGAACTAGCAAAATAAATGTGTGATTCCGAGTAGTTGAGAGTTGAAAGTTGTAGTCTAATGTTAAGAGTGCGTTACAGACTCGAGATAACGACTCATTTTAAGATTTCGCCGTATGGATCTGGTTTGACCTTTTAGTAAATATCCCACGATGAACTTCTGCAGCATTCATTCTGCCGCATCATCTTTTTTGGGCGGGAAGAGCTCACGCAACCAACTTAACTCAAACACCTTTATGTACTCGTTTGACTCCAAATGTAGAAAATTCCTGACATGTTTCGCATAACATCAATTTAGGTATGAAACTAAAATAATCAAGCTTTGTCACACAACGAGAGATATATTGCTGGTACTGCTAGTAAACAGGTTTACCGCATAAGGGATTCACTTAGTTGACAATAATGCAACCGATGGAACCACACACCTCTGTGGGTGCCGGCAGACCTTACCTCATTTGTCCCACCAGTTGTCAATAACAACCAGAGCGTACTGGTGTTGTGAAGGTAAGCACTGTCATCCCCATATAACATCAGCTTTGTAGACCGTTCGGGAGAAGACCCTAGACTCTAGTTGCCTGTCATCAGTAGCAGGCCTACTGATCCTGACCGAGATTAAAACTCCAAGTGCAGTGTTTTTGAGGTAGGTAGGCTGATCGGTAATCTATTGACATCATGATAAACAAGACGAAACCTCCTTCTTCCCAGTTAGCACTTCCGAACCGTAAACCGAACGGATGTGAGAAAATACATTGTGCGTTGTGCTAATGCTCATTATTATGTAAGTTCTTGGTTAAGCCACAACGAGTTAAAACCAAAAGAGTTATCGGTTTCGCAACGTTTCGACCCTCTCGGAGAGCCTTTATCAAGCGATTTAAATCAGAAAATTCACAATATACAAGCTGCAAATGAGGTAGTCATCAAGGGGCACATGTCAGTGTGTTTAATATGCGGTGTGTAGATAGGCTACCAATAAGATGTAAGTGTTCACGGTTCATCTGAGGTCATCACTTGACGATCCCACGTGCAGGGGTAGATAATTATTGTGTGTTGTGTGACAGTGTGCTTCTTCTTCCCCTCCCATCTCCTCCTCTTAGTCGGTAGCAACGTATCTGTGATTGATGTTGATTATCTGCTATTGTATAGTCGGGAAAACTTTTAGGTTTGGTGATGAAACGTTTGTAGGGTTGGGGGTAACATCTAACTGCAGATATAAATTTAAACAAATAACATTAAGACCTCTACAGCATGTAAACAGATGGACGACTTGCAATTGTGAGCCGAATGGTATTTACAAGAGTTGTGGCTTAGGTATTCGGCTGTTTATTGTCCTTGACATTTAGGTTACAAACGTTCACCTCTTTTGGTGGTATAACATTCGTAACCTAAATGTCAAGTCCGGCGAATAATCGAATGCGTGAACCATCAACCCGAACTACGAGCATCACTGCTATTTCATACAATCAGCTATCATGACTTTCCGGACAAACTAGTTAAACAGCTACACTATTCCTGACGATGTGCCCAATCACCCGCCGTACTTCATGAGGTTTTTGATCAGGTTGCACAGCTATCTCACGAGGAGACAGCAACTGTCCGCTCATTCGAATCGACCCCTTTGGCCTCGAAATTGTGCAACATACACTAGCGGAAGAAAGCTTAGGTTTTCATACTATAGTCGCAGACTCGAATAATAGAGATCAAGCAATTAGCTCCAATCTGCAC